GGCTGGTGTGGTGCCATGGTGGTTGTGTGTACTCGAGGCTGCGTGGTGCCATGGTGGTTGTGTGTACTCGAGGCTGATGTGGTGCCATGGTGGTTCTGTGTACTCGAGGTAGCGTGGTGCTATGGTGATTGTGAGTACTCGAGGCTGGTGTGGTGCCATGGTGGTTCTGTGTACTCGAGGCTGCGTGGTGCTATGGTGGTTGTGTGTACTCGAGGCTGGTGTGGTGCCATGGTGGTTGTGTGTACTCGAGGCTGCGTGGTGCCATGGTGGTTGTGTGTACTCGAGGCTGCGTGGTGCCATGGTGGTTGTGTGTACTGGAGGCTGCGTGGTGCCATGGTGGTTGTGTGTACTCGAGGCTGCATGGTGCCATGGTGGTTGTGTGTACTCGAGGCTGGTGTGGTGCCATGGTGGTTCTGTGTACTCGAGGCTGCGTGGTGCCATGGTGGTTGGGTGTACTCGAAGCTCGTGTGGTGCTATGGTGGTTGTGTGTACTCGAGGCTGGTGTGGTGCCATGGTGGTTGTTTGTACTCGAGGCAGCGTGGTGCTATGGTGGTTGTGTGTACTCGAGGCTGGTGTGGTGCTATGGTGGTTGTGTGTACTCGAGGCAGCGTGGTGGTATGGTGGTTGTGTGTACTCGAGGCAGCGTGGTGCCATGGTGGTTGTGTGTACTCGAGGCTGGTGTGGTGCCATGGTGGTTCTGTGTACTCGAGGCTGCGTGGTGCCATGGTAGTTGTGTGTACTCGAGGCTGCGTGGTGCCATGGTGGTTGTGTGTACTCGAGGCTGGTGTGGTCATGGTGTTGTGTGTACTCGAGGCTGCGTGGTGCCATGGTAGTTGTGTGTACTCGAGGCTGCGTGGTGCCATGGTGGTTGTGTGTACTCGAGGCTGGTGTGGTGCCATGGTGGTTGTGTGTACTCGAGGCAGGTGTGGTGGGGGGGGGGGGAGGTTAATGCCACCACTACTACTACTGTTGCTACCACCACTACTACTACTACTACTACTACTACTACTATTGTTACTAATACTACCATTACTACTGCCAGCACTGCTACCACTACTAATACTATTGCTACTACCACTACTAACTCTACTAGTACTACTACCGCTACTACTACTGTCAGCACTGCTACTACTACTACTGCTACTACCAGCAATACTACTACTACTACTACCACCACCACCACCACCACCACTAATACCATCATCCTGGTCTAGCTATTAAGACTGCCTTGTTAAAACGTTATTTTATTACATTTATACACCTTACTGGGACGAAAGAGAGAGAGAGAGAGAGAGAGAGAGAGAGAGAGAGAGAGAGAGAGAGAGAGAGAGAGAGAGAGAGAGAGAGAGAGAGAGAACGTACGTGTCCGTGAATACGCACCTGGGAGTGCATCACGACACGGGAACTTCATTCTACTGACCCTCAACTCGACCCTCCACATTCAAGGTCGTCCTTGGACCACTTCCTCCAACACGGCGTCCAAGAGGCACTTGGGCAGCCTGGAGGCTGACCCCTTTCACTCTCCACCGAGGGTGAAAGGGGTCAGCCTCACACTTACGTTCCTTTTTCAACGTTCCCTTTTCACTCCCCTAAAACCTCGTTACCAGACGTATCGTTGCTTCATTATTCTTCTGGAATGAAATATTTTATCTACGTTTATCTGGCCCAAAGTAAAGGAAAAACGTGAATTAAAACGTCAAAAACTGACGTTTTTCATAAAATATTAAGTTTTTCTCAACTTTCATCCTTAAAATGCAGTTTATATATATATATATATATATATATATATATATATATATATATATTATATATATATATATATATATATATATATATATATATATATATATATATATATATATATATATATGTCGTGCCTAATAGGTAAAACTGGTCAATTAGCAAGAACTCATTTAAAATTAAGTCCTTTCTAAAATTTTCTCTTATACGTTTAAAGATATATTTTTTCATTAATGTTAATGTAAAAATTTTTAATTTTGCACCAAAAGAATCTTAGAAAACTTACCTAACCTTATTATAACAAGAACAATTTATTTTAGCCTAACCCAACTAAATATATTTTAGATTTGTTTACAATAATTTAATACTAAACAAACACAGTGAAATAATTTTTTTTCGTTAGGTTCAGAATGATTTTGGCGAAATTATTGCATACACAAATTTTCACTTGTCCTATATGGCAAGATGAACGTTGCTATTTAAGCCAAGATCGCAAGTTCTGCCTATTCGGCACGACATATATATATATATATATATATATATAATTATAATAATTAGAATAATTTTAATAATACTACTACTAATAATAATAATAATTATTATTAATAATAATAATAATAATAATTATTATTATTATTATTATTATTATTATTATTATTATTATTATATTGTTAGGGTTACATGTTAGTAAAAAGACAGAGGTTTAAATTTGCTTGTTATTTCTACGGTAGAGTCGTCCCTCTGTTTCCGTCTTTTCTCAACACTGTCTCCTGATATATTATTTAATTGACAGTTATACAAGAATAAGATCTTTATGGCCACTTAATAACATTTTATCTCTTTTATGCTCCATAAACTGTGTTTTTGTTTTCCAAAGTTGACGCTTCCTGTGTTTTGTCATGCAAAGGTTGTATACTGCACACACACACACACACACACACACACACACACACACACACACACACACACACACACACACACACATACACACACATACACACACACACACGGGGCAGGGAGAGAGAGGACCTAGTAGCAATCAGCAAAGAGGCGGGGCCAGGGGCTGTGAATCGACCCCTGCAACCACAAATAGGCGAGTACAAATAGGTGAGTACACGGAACAGGGAGAGAGAGAGAGGACCTAGTAGCAATCAGTGAAGAGGCGGGGCCAGGAGCTATGAATCGACCCCTGCAACCACAATTAGGTGAGTACACACACACACGCACATACACAGAATCAACCTCTGCAACCACAAATACTTGTATACAAATAGGCGGGGCCAGGAGCTATGGCTCGACCCAGGACCGGATTTAGACCTTGTGGGCCGGGGACCTTTAGGTATCTTTAGGTATATGTTGTCCATGTCTACACAAGTATCTGTAGAATGTTGTCCATGTCTACACAAGTAACTGTAGAATGTTGTCCATGTCTACACAACTGTAGAATCCTGTCCATGTCTACACAAGTAACTGTAGAATGTTGTCCATGTCTACACAAGTAACTGTAGAATGTTGTCCATGTCTACACAAGTAACTGTAGAATGTTGTCCATGTCTACACAAGTAACTGTAGAATGTTGTCCATGTCTACACAAGTAACTGTAGAATGTCGTCCATGTCTACACAAGTATCTGTAGAATGTTGTCCATGTCTACACAAGTAACTGTAGAATGTTGTCCATGTCTACACAAGTAACTGTAGAATGTTGTCCATGTCTACACAAGTAACTGTAGAATGTTGTCCATGTCTACACAAGTAACTGTAGAATGTCGTCCATGTCTACACAAGTATCTGTAGAATGTTGTCCATGTCTACACAAGTAACTGTAGAATGTCGTCCATGTCTACACAAGTATCTGTAGAATGTTGTCCATGTCTACACAAGTAACAGTAGAATGTTGTCCATGTCTACATAAGTAACTGTAGAATGTTGTCCATGTCTACACAAGTAACTGTAGAATGTTGTCCATGTCTACACAAGTAACTGTAGAATGTTGTCCATGTCTACACAAGTAACTGTAGAATGTCGTCCATGTCTACACAAGTATCTGTAGAATGTTGTCCATGTCTACACAAGTAACTGTAGAATGTTGTCCATGTCTACACATGTATCTGTAGAATGTTGTCCATGTCTACACAAGTATCTGTAGAATGTTGTCCATGTCTACACAAGTAACTGTAGAATGTTGTCCATGTCTACACAAGTAACTGTAGAATGTGTTTTGTGGTGATTCATGATGTTGATTTGGTATGTTCTTTGTATTTTCTACAGATGTACTTGGTAATGCTGGTGGGTCCTCAGAAGAAACATCATCTGGTAGTGGTACTTGGTAATGCTGGTGGGTCCTCAGAAGAAACATCATCTGGTAGTGGTACTTGGTAATGCTGGTGGGTCCTCAGAAGAAACATCATCTGGTAGTGGTACTTGGTAATGCTGGTGGGTCCTCAGAAGAAACATCATCTGGTAGTGGTACTTGGTAATGCTGGTGGGTCCTCAGAAGAAACATCATCTGGTAGTGGTACTTGGTAATGCTGGTGGGTCCTCAGAAGAAACATCATCTGGTAGTGGTACTTGTAATGCTGGTGGGTCCTCAGAAGAAACATCATCTGGTAGTGGTACTTGGTAATGCTGGTGGGTCCTCAGAAGAAACATCATCTGGTAGTGGTACTTGGTAATGCTGGTGGGTCCTCAGAAGAAACATCATCTGGTAGTGGTACTTGGTAATGCTGGTGGGTCCTCAGAAGAAACATCATCTGGTAGTGCTACTGGTTCTTCATTACTAACTTCTATGTTTTCCACTATGGCAGCAGAGAAAAATTCTGTAAGGTATTTTGTCTTTGCCAGGACCACAGTATTTCTTTCACTTGATTCTTTGGAAATTTCTCTTGTCTGAGCTCCTGACAATTGAATTTTTAGTGGCATACTGGGTCTTCTGAAAAAACAAATATTCAGATATTTTGACATTTAATGACAGTGTAGTTAATGGCACAGTGTGTGTGTGACCGTGGTGGCATAGATCACATCCAAGGAATGTGATCTATGCCACCTGGGAGCGGACTTATTCTTCCAGGTGGTCTATGACCCCCAGGGGTAAGCACTCCACCATGAGTAGTACTGATAGTACTGGTGTAGTAGTGCCATCTAGTGGTGGTAGTGGTGGTGTAGTAGTGCCATCTAGTGGTGGTAGTCAGAGTTAGTCAGGTTATCAGCGATGGTGTTATAGTGAAGGTCATACCAGTGACCAACCTCAAGGGCACTAAAGGTCAGTTGAACTTCAGTAGTCGTTCAGGAGAGATGTGCTGCCCCTCGTACTGCCACCCCCGCCGGCTTTACCGCTTCCTCATCCTTTTAATACACCTAAATAACGTAAGTATTGTCTGGTGACGTATTTGTCAGTACAACAGCAGAGTTGAGCAGCAGCTCCTGGTCCCCTCCACCAGTTTGGTCACCAAATTAATATTTTAATAGGCTTAATTTTCTTCAGGGTCTGTCTTGGGGGGGGGAGTGATTGACCGTAGTGGAGGGGTTTTGATAAGAGGAACTAGAGCTGCTCCACTTCCTCTGATCAAACAATAACTCACGTTACATAACCCATAATGGTATGTCCAGTTCCGGGCTATTTTTTTCCATTATTGAAAAATAACTTAGTGAAGGTCTCTTGATCCAAGGAACTTGCGCTTTGTGATCCAGATATAGACTTAAATGTTAACAAATTGTTAGTCATCAAGTCTATGTGCAAGAAATATTAAGTAAAGTAAAAGGACACAAGTGCAACTAATGTGACATTTTATTGTGGCAACGTTTCGCTCTCCAGGAGCTTCATCAAGCCATTACAAACAATACATGGACACAGAGGGTATATATAGGCTCAGAGTGAGGTGCAATACTAGTGGTAGTAGTAGTTGTAGTAGCAGCAGCAGTGGCAAAAGTTGTAGTAGTAGTAGTAATACAATATGGTAGAGCAATTAATTCGTACATGAGTAAAAGGATATAAAAGCTATTACTTGGGTAACATAAAATTAGGTTGGACAAATATAGACTGGAAAGAGGCAGCTTGTTTCAGTGTTCACTCTGTAATGTGCTTTGTGTAGTATAACAGGAGAGACTATGTGATGGCAGGGTTTACTGTTTTCAGGAGGATTCTTGCTAAGACTTCAGAGATGGTGAAGCTGCCGTTGTTTTGTTTGATTGTATTCGAAACAGCGATCAGTGCTGATTCGAGGCACTTGCGTCTGCGGAAATTAGTTTCTTTGATCACTAATTGGGCGTCCCTGAATTTCATGAGATGATTGGTGGAATTTCGGTGTTGTACACAGGCGTTGTTCAAGTTATCGTTCCTACATGCGTAAATGTGTTCATTGAGGCGGGTGTCGAGGTTTCTTGCTGTTTCACCTACGTAAATCTTGTCACAGCCTCCACAGGGTATATTATAAACTCCTGCGTTTACTGGTTCGTGGTGCTTGGATTTTGTCCTGGTTAGATTCTTTATTGAAGTGCTAGAAGCGATGGCGACTCTGGTGTTAGCTTGTGAAAGTACTTTAGAAACGTTCAGTGCAACCTGGCTGTTGGGATGAATTATAACTTTGTTGGGAGTGGTGTTGATGCGTGGAGAATTAATGATCTAAAAAGCTCTTTTCTTGCAGTCTTTGATGAAAAATGAAGGAAAATGTAACTCTGTGAATGTTTGGTGAATGTATGTACATTCCTTGTCAAGAAACTCAGGACTACAAATTCGGTATGCTCTTAGGAAAAACCCGTTGATGATGGTAATGTTTGTGTATAAATGTGTGTAATGTTCATGGTTATAATGTGAATGTTTTGTTTCAGGTGTGGTAACTGAGGAGTGCTGTGCCTGGCTGTGTCTGCTGCAACACTGACCAGTCTGAGGAGTGCTGTGCCTGGCTCTCTGCTGCAACACTGACCAGTCTGAGGAGTGCTGTGCCTGGTTGTGTCTGCTGCAACACTGATCAAAACAGCAACCTTGACCAGTCTGACCCATAACATAGTGTTATATGGAGATGCAGCAGTTGGAGACGTCGTTAGAGGTGGACAGGGCCCACTTGTAAGGTATTTCCAGGTTATAATTCCACTAAACTTTGGTTATTGAAGCAGATAGTAATTGTAATGTGGGAAGGTGGTGGGGAGAGTATAGGAAAGATTATTAGTAATTGATATCAGAAGTAGCTTAGTGGGAAGTATTAGTTTATCTCCCGACCAGAGATGAAATCTCTGGCCAGGAAATAAAGGAATGTATTCTATAGGTTACCTTGAATGAAGTGGAAATAATTGAAGAAACGGGTTGTAAAGCTTAGAAGTGAAGACTGACTACATTTTATGAAGTTTTAGTTTAATATATTTTAGTCAATATCCATCCTGTAAGATTGTAGGAAGCAGAGATGAAATGTGTAAGTGTTGTATCATGGCTCAGTTGGTAGCGGCCTCGACTGAAGAACAGATTCGATCCCTGGCACATGTGGGCATGTTCCCTTATATCCATTGGCACTGTTCACATAAAGGAGGCCTACCCGTACGGGGCGCATCCTGGGTGAATATAAATACCCTAATAAAAATGTCATGGATCTCATCCTGACTTGGTGTAAGTGTGTTAATTTACCGGGTTAATAATTATACTGAGATAGTTTAGTGGTGAGGGTAATGGTAGAAGTCTTGATGCCGGGTGTAAGGAAGGCCTATTAAATCAGGCATAATCATTATTAAGACATAATAAAAGAGCACTGAAGCAGGCCTATAGACCCATGCTAGGCAAGTCCAACTCTCAACCACTCATTTGTCTAACCTATTTTTAAACCTACACAACCAAGGTTTAAGTTTCGCATGACGGGATAAATTTACCTTAGGCAGAAGATATTATAGCCGGAAAAATTAATAATAATTCCCCAGAAATGTGGAATTAACCACATCTTTAGCGCTTACGACTCCAGTCTCTCTATTAAAGCGTCTTTGGAGGGAGCATTTGCTATGAAATCGGGTTATACAGTGTGTATTTAGAGACTTTGTAGACCCTTTGATCTTACCTAGATCCCCCATGATCTTACCTAGATCCTCCTTGATCTTACCTAGATCCCCCTTGATCTTACCTAGATCCCCCTTGATCTTACCTAGATTCCCATTGATCTTACCTAGATCCCCCTTGATCTTACCTAGATACCCCTTGATCTTACCTAATCTCCCTTGATCTTACCTAGATCCCCATTTGATCTTACCTAGATCCCCATTTGATCTTACCTAGATCCCCCATTGATCTTGCCTAGATCCCCCTTGATCTTGCCTAGATCCCCCTTGATCTTGCCTAGATCCCCCTTGAGCTTACCTAGATCCCCTTGATCTTACCTAGATCCCCCTTGATCTTAACAAGATCCACCTTGATCTTACCTAGATCCCCCTTGATCTTAACAAGATCCCCCTTGATCTTAACAAGATCCACCTTGATCTTACCTAGATCCCCCATTGATCTTACCTAGATCCCCCTTGATCTTGCCTAGATCCCCCTTGATCTTACCTAGATCCCCATGATCTTACCTAGATCCCCCTTGAGCTTACCTAGATCCCCTTGATCTTACCTAGATCCCCCTTGATCTTACCTAGATCCCCCTTGATCTTAACAAGATCCACCTTGATCTTACCTAGATCCCCCATTGATCTTACCTAGACCCCCTTGATCTTGCCTAGATCCCCCTTGATCTTGCCTAGATCCCCCTTGATCTTGCCTAGATCCCCCTTGAGCTTACGTAGATCCCCTTGATCTTACCTAGATCCACCTTGATCTTGCCTAGATCCCCCATTGATCTTACCTAGATCCCCCCTTGATCTTACCTACATCCCCGTTGATCTTACCTAGATTCCCCTTGATCTTACCTAATCTCCCTTGATCTTACCTAGATCCCCTTTGATCTTACCTAGACCCCCTTGATCTTACCTAGACCCCCTTGATCTTACCTAGATCCTCCTTGATCTTACCTAGATCCTCCTTGATCTTACCTAGATCCTCCTTGATCTTGCCTAGATCCCCCTTGATCTTGCCTAGATCCCCCTTGATCTTGCCTAGATCCCCCTTGATCTTGCCTAGATCCCCTTGATCTTACCTAGATCCCCCTTGATCTTACCTAAATCCCCTTGATCTTACCTAGATCCCCCTTGATCTTACCTAGATCCCCCTTGATCTTGCCTAGATCCCCCTTGATCTTGCCTAGATCCCCCTTGATCTTACCTAGATCCCCTTTGATCTTACCTAGATCCCCCTTGATCTTACCTAGATCCCCCTTGATCTTGCCTAGATTCCCCTTGATCTTGCCTAGATCCCCCTTGATCTTACCTAGATCCCCTTGATCTTACCTAGATCCCCCTTGATCTTACCTAAATCCCCCTTGATCTACCTAGATCCCCCTTGATCTTACCTAGATCCCCCTTGATCTTGCCTAGATCCCCTTGATCTTGCCTAGATCCCCCTTATCTTACCTAGATCCCCTTGATCTTACCTAGATCCCCCTTGATCTTGACCTAGATCCCCCTTGATCTTGCCTAGATTCCCCTTGATCTTGCCTAGATCCCCCTTGATCTTACCTAGATCCCCTTTGATCTTACCTAGATCCCCTTTGAGCTTACCTAAACCCCCCTTTGATCTTGCCTAATCCCCCTTGATCTTACCTAGACCCCATGATCTTACCTAGACCCCATGATCTTACCTAGACCCCCTTGAAGTTGCCTAGACCCCTCCTTGATCTTGCCTAGACCCCCCTTGATCTTACACCCCCCTTGATCTTATACCCCCCTTGATCTTACCTAAACCATCTTGATCTTACACCCCCCTTGATCCTACATAGACCCTTTCGATGTAACCCAGACCCTCCTTGATCTTGCCAAAAACCACCTTGATGTTACCTAAACCCCCCTTCATTTACCTAGAAACCCGTGATTTTACGTAGATCCTTCGTTGATCATACCTAGACCCCGTTGATCTTGCCTAGACCCCTTGATCTTGCATTGACTCCTTTGATGTTACCCAGACCCTTTGAACTTTGATCTTACCTAAACCCCTCTTGATCCTACCTAGACGCTTCTTTGATTTTACCTAGACCCCCCTCGATCTTATCTAGACACCCTTTGATCTTACCCAGATCTCCTTGATCTTACCCAGATCTCCTTGATCTTACTCAGATCTCCTTGATCTTACTCAGATCTCCTTGATCTTACCCAGATCTCCTTGATCTTACCCAGATCTCCTTGATCTTACCCAGATCTCCTTGATCTTACCCAGATCTCCTTGATCTTACCCAGATCTCCTTGATCTTACCCAGATCTCCTTGATCTTACCCAGATCTCCTTGATCTTACCCAGATCTCCTTGATCTTACCCAGATCTCCTTGATCTTACCCAGATCACCTTGATCTTGCCTAGTCCTCCTTGATCTTACCTAGACCCCGTTGATCTTACCTAGACCCCGTTGATCTTACCAGACCCCCGTTGATCTTACCTAGCCCCCGTTGATCTTACCAAAGACCCGTTGATCTTACCTAGACCCCGTTGATCTTACCTAGACCCGTTGATCTTACCTAGACCCGTTGATCTTCCCTACCCCCCGTTGATCTTCCCTAGACCCCGTTGATCTTACCTAGACCCCGTTGATCTTACCTAGACCCCGTTGATCTTACCTAGACCCCGTTGATCTTACTCCCACCTAGACCCCGTTGATCTTACCTAGACCCCGTTGATCTTACCTAGACCCCGTTGATCTTACCTAGACCCCGTTGATCTTACCTAGACCCCGTTGATCTTACCTAGACCCCGTTGATCTTACCTAGCCCCCTTTGATCTTACCTAGACCCCCGTTGATCTTACCTAGACCCCCTTGATCTTACCTAGACCCCCTTGATCTTACCTAGACCCGTTGATCTTACCTAGACCCCGTTGATCTTACCTAGCCCCCGTTGATCTTACCTGGGCCCCCGTTGATCTTACCTAGACCCGTTGATTTTACCTAGACCCCGTTGATCTTACCTGACCCCGTTGATCTTACCTAGACCCCGTTGATCTTACCTAGACCCCGTTGATCTTACCTAGACCCCGTTGATCTTACCTAGACCCCGTTGATCTTACCTAGACCCCGTTGATCTTACCTAACCCCTTTGATTTACCTAGACCCGTTGATCTTACCTAGCCCCCGTTGATCTTACCTAGACCCCGTTGATCTTACCTAGACCCGTTGATCTTACCTAGACCCCGTTGATATTACCTAGGCCAACTTAATCTTACCTAGTCCTCCTTGATTTTATCTAGACCCCCTTGATCTTAGCTAGATCCCCTTGATCTTACCTAGACCCCATTTGATCATACCTAGACCCGCTGATCTTACCTAAACCCCGTTTGATCTTATGTAAACCCCCCTTGATCTTACCTAGACCCCTTTGATTTTACATAAGCTCCCTTGATGTTACCCAGATCCCCTTTCATCTTACCTTTACTTCCCTTCCTCCTCCCTTAGCCCCGTCACTGCTCTGGAAATTACTAAGGCCTATACCTGGAGTATGTGCATAGTTGTGTGTGTATATATAACTTTGTAGGGCAACAATTATTTAGTTTCTATCAAAAAAAACTTTTTAGAATTAGGTGGTATTAAGTAGGATAGGGAGGGGATGGAACTGGAGGGGAAACTGCTATATGCATTATGAATGCATATAGCAGGGGAGAGTAATCTCCCCTGAAAGGCATAGATTACGTAGAAACTGTAAGCCTGGAACCCACCAACGACCTTCAGTAGCTGTCTGCAGTTTGTTATTGCTCGTGGTTTCCGTGGGGATTTTGGTGGGTTCTGGGCTTTGGGTAGTGGTTGTGGTGGGTGTTCTACGTTTTTTATGCCTTTGGCCAAACTGTGTAAAGTTAAATATTGATTCATTGAGTTGACACAATTTCATCATTTTGGAAAATTTCAGCGACGTTCAGGTCTTATATTCTTAGAAAATATTAGCGTTCAGAATTGCAGTTGGTTTGATAGCTTGTAAGTGGTGAAGTGTAACGCTTTTGGCACCAGTACGTTAATGATGAAAATGAAA